GCTATGAACGTGGTGGCCGCCAAGGAGGTTGCTGAGAAGTTGGGCAAGGGTAACACCGTTGTGACCATTCTCTGTGACGGTGCTTATCGGTATGCGGATCGTTTGTTCTCCAGCACTTGGCTCGAGAGCAAGAACCTGCGTGCTTCCATTCCCAAGCACCTGGAGAAGTATATTGTGTTGCCTTAGACTGTGTATAAATTGAACAAACTATATCCTCGTCCACACTTTCGAACTTGAAAGGAGTAAATTGGGACATGCTTCTAGTGATTGAGTGCTGATCCTGTTCAGGTTTGCATTTGGGACTGACATAGTAGATGGTCTGCTAGAGAATGGGGCGTGGATTTGTTGTAAGTCATATATTTGAATATTGATTGTATGGACGTTCTTCAAAATTTAGTTAACAATATAAGCATAAATAGTTTGGTATCAATTGTGAGAGGTGAGTCTCAAAAGGCCAGTGGTGTATGTATGTCCACGCTTGATATTGTACAAAGGAGTAAAGAGTCAGACCCAAAAGGATCTAATATGGCGTAAGCCACCATGTCGAGGCCATGCAATGCAGGCGTCGAACAAAACATGCAACACAAGGGAAGTAGGCCATAAAAAGCCATGCTTCCAGAGCAAAATAGATAAGAACAATCAAAACGCCCGCAATGCTTCCGTTCTATTCCAGAACGCCAAATGGTGGAAATATACAAGTAAGAAGCGCGACAACGTAAGGCCGCCTGGCAATAAAGCGCCAAACAACGCAACAAGGTCATGCTTTCAAGTCGGATCCGGATTGAGCGTTTACTCATCAGCGGGCATTCTCATGTAGGCATCAATAGCCGCACTGAACGCCGCAAAACCAGCGCAACCAAATGCAGCAGCCTGGGGACCGGCCTTTGCACCGAGAATACCACCAGTAACACAACCAGCAGCAACACTGTTGGTAAGATCGTTCTTTGCGCGGAGGCCTTCGATACAGCACTCAGTTCCGGAGTAGAGCGCACCGACGATACCGAAGTTCTTAGCAGAGGACCAGGAGCGGGCTCCCATGTCCTTGAATCCGCGACGGACTTGGTCGCGCCAAGGGAGGTCGGCGATGGCGCGGCCCTGGGGTGTGAAGGTCGAGTCGTAGGACATCTAGAGCGGGTAGATGTTAGATATGGAATTTTCAACATCAATTATTCAATTGTCAACTTACACTGGCCATGAAGAGACCGAAAGCACCACCAAGACCGAAACCCATGGTACCCGAGATGACTGTCTTGATAGGACATGATTCCATACCACGTTGCATCTGTAGCGAGTTTTATTAGAATTGGACCAAATGCACATCGTAATCGAGGACGAACCATCTTGACCATAGCCTGTTCTTGTTCATTCATTCCCTGGGTGTCCGGGTTACCTCCCAGTGTTGCCATCGGCATCGCGGCGGTGCCTGTGGTGAGTGGAAATGCCATGTTGAAAGCTGATGCGGCTGAGGGTTTTATTGAATATAGTAGATCGTACTCGCTGGATCGGATCCAAGCTGGCCTGAATGATCAATCCACTGGACCTCGGCGAGAAAATTAATCGCGTAAGCAAGTAAAATAGAGAACGCGGAGATCTTGCGGAGGCGAGTAACTGAACCGCAAATTTATTTTACGGGGAACTAGGAAAGCCTCAAGCGCAGTTCTGCACGTGATATCCCGGCTCCGCAAAATCATCGTGCCGTTATCGGGACAAGCTGTATGATACATTATTATTGAACCTGAGAAGAGCTTTTGTTTAATGACATTCCTAAGAATGAACGGTACAGAAATCTTGGAAACTCGTTTGTATTCATAAAGCTAGAGAACAAAAAAAAAGTAGCATTCATCGTGATCAAATCAACTGGCATTTCAAAATCCTCAAAAGCAAATCGAAGCCAGATGGTTCAAAGGTAGCGCAAGAGAAATGTATCGACAAGAGAAGAAGCAACGCTCTCGTATGGTATAATTGGAAAGTCGTAGCCCTACGTAATTCCGTAGATAGGGCCGAAGAAGAGGTAGCAAGTATGTACATGAAAGGAAAGAAAGAACCCTACTAGTCCTTCTTGCTGTCCTTGCGACTGAGCGAAGGAGAGGCAGTTCGCTCTGGAGAAGGTGACAGCGAGCGCTCCCATTCTGCCATCAGATTAGATGCAGTCCGTTGAAGCTTCGAGGGGGCCAGCTTGGTAATTGCAGGCCAGGGAATGCCTTCAGAGACACCAGAATCAAGTGTAGAGGAAGCCGGGTTTAAATCGCCAAAGCTAGGAGCGTGGTCAGCGCATGACGAGGTTGTCATAGATGAAATCAGAAAAGGTCGAGCGGTACCTAGCACTGGTTCGAGGGCTGCTACCCTGTGTGATGGGTGATTGATCACGTTTTGATGCGACTGTTGATCGGCTCGATGAGGGCGTGTGCGTCTTCTGCGGGGATAGGGGCGTGTCCCAGCTATCCCAATTATCGAGGTCTTCATCCTGCGCGTCGATTGAGTTACTGGAGAGGTGATCGCGCTGTTCGGCTTCGTTCGCCCCGTTTCGGTTGGCGGTTTTGTTGTCGGAGGTGCGCGGAGCGTTCGGAGACTTCTGAGCGGGTGTATCAATGCCGAATTCGTTCCAGAAAGACGTGGAAATTTCCGCCGGCTTGGTGTCTTTACCAGTTTTTGTCTCGGCCGCTGGCCCCCTTCCCCGCGCAGACGATGACGATGACGACCGTGATAGCTTGCCGTCCGCTAACAACCGTTCTCGACTCCGGGATCCCGCCAACGAATCCCGCTTGCGACCATTTGGTGGTGCCAACGAGTTGGGTGAGTTTCGTGTTTGTGTGCCGTTGATTCCTTCCTCGCCCACCGTAGCTTGTCGGATATCCTCCAAAAATGTCCACAGACCCTCGCGGAGATCGGATGCCATTTGTTTGCCTGTGCGCACCAATGCCTCCCGCGAAGGAGGAGGAAGAGTCTTTTGCCACTGTGCGAGTAGATGTTCTGGTACCTGGCTCTCATCTAGTTGTGCACTCATCATAGCTGCATTCTTGCGGTCGACCGATGGTAATGTTGCAGACCGCGGAGTGCGACCCAGACGTTCTTCTGAGGGACCTGAGTCTCCCCGGGAAGAAATGCTGGGACTTGAGACTGGCGACAAAAGAGACAAAGTCCGTGTATGTGCGCCGTGAAATACTCGCCGACCATTAGTCCCAATCTTGGTTCCTGGTGCGGCAGCAGCACGCACACTAGCCCGTCGGTCTAGATCTCGGCTCATCCGTTCCTGGGATACGGTGGAGCTCGTGACTGAGCTCATGCTCTGTTCCCGGGCGTGTAAACTCGGAGCCTCGGGTGTGGCGAAATCAGGTGATCGGAGGGGGATGAGTGGCTCTGCGTGGTTGATCTCCGCCCGCTTCCTGGACTTTTCAGACATGGCCCATTGCCTTTTGATTGTCGCCAGGTCTGCTTCGGCCCGTGTGAGCTCCTCGCGAAGCTCCATGACCTTCCGTTCCTGCGAGGCGATGGCCCGCAGGAAATCATAGCCATCATCCGGGACATCAAATGCCATAGGTGTTCCTGGGGGCTGAGCGGGGGAGGGGCGAGTGGCGGACTGTGTAACTGGGGTTATGGAGCCGGGGGAGGTGACGTTGGAATCGGATGTTTCAGGTTCGTTCAGGTTGATGGGGAAGTTCAAGGTGAGGCGTTTGGCATGACGGGCCGTACGAGGTAGTGAACCTTTTTTCTGAGCGAGAGATGATGAGCGTGAGAGAGAGAACTGCTCGGAAGCAGAGTCCGGCACAGTTGAAATCTGGTCCGGAAATGGACCATAGACCAGGCTCTCCGCTCCCGGAAGACTCTCCATTGTGGACCAGCCAGTAGGAGAGATCAAGATAATTCAAAAAGTCATAAGAGAAACAAACAAAATAAGTAAAATGCGACGACAGAGGAGAGTTGAGAAGGGGAAAAATAATAGCTCTTGGTCTCCTGAGTCCAGCCCACAGCGGGTCCCCACAGTCCACGGGCTGTGTTTCAGGGGGAATTAATTAGCCTACAGGTCTTGGCACCGAGGTAGATTATAGACACTTTAATTTGGACATCTGAACAGAAGGTAATTCAATAGTTTGTGGGTTTAAGAGTGTGTATATAAGCTAGGTATCTTGTTTCTAGTCCACGACCGAAGCATGCCTGTGCTTCGAGGTTTTGCCACGTCTTTGGGTTCTAGACTCCCTGCAGAGCATGGCTACATGTATCACCTTCAATTAAACTCGTCATACCTCGTACGCCCGCGCTTTATCAATGAGCCTAGACGACCTCGGGGGAAGGGACGCAATGGAAAGAGCCTTCCAAGGAAGGTGCGATTGAGTCCGAGTGATAAAAACGACAAGAGCAAAGGGCCGTCCATTTTAGGAAGGTACGTGGAAGGTGGCCATATAAAAGGGCTCCTCCCACTTTTCCTCTTCTCTTCTTCTTCTCTTCTTCTCTCCAGCCCTTGACCCCCATCTCTCCGTAGCCCACCTGAGATCGCGTAGAGGGTTGTGCCTTACCTACACACAAGGATATCAACATTACCACTTTGTTGTGGTCCTTGTGCAAGTCCGCGCCTACATCAAATTGCTAGTTCTCGTGGATGTTCTTTGACAAAGTCATTGGCTGAGCCTTGTGGGTTCGTAGCCATTGACAGATCCCACGGAATACATGGGCTCCTGTGATCCTCTTTACCTAGATGTATCCAGCTATGAGTTACCAATACATTCCAGTTGCCAGTTCAAGATGCCTGGTGACTACCTAGATAGTGTATGGATCGAGCCCGAGTTCAACTTATCTCACTCGGCCCCAAATATTGTGGGGGCTGCCTCGGGTGTCTTGTTTAAGCTTATTTTTAGTTTCACTTTTATTTCTCTTGAAGTGGAGGCTAAAATGATGAAGTGATAAAAGAAACTGGTCGAGATATAAATAGACCTCGGGGATATGCAGGGACCCGTCCGTCATTCAACCGCACCTCCGTAGAGGGCGTATTCGTCAACCGCGTCGTCATGAACTGGAGAGCAAGTGCCCTGCGTATTTGCTCTAATGCCAGGGTTATTCACAGGGGAATTTTCCCTCAATTTCCCATTTTTGCGTGCTGGCTAATCTCCCCCTTTGATCGAAAACCAGCCTGGTCGCGGCGATATTCATCACAATGGACGTCCAACCCGAGAGTCTTCCCGGTGTTTGATCTCGGGTTATTGGATTCATCTCTCAAAATTGAAGAAGAGCTTGCGATAGAAGATGAGCCCAACGAGACATACACGTATCCCGCCGAGGAGGAAGAAATCCTGAACGACAGGTACCAAATTCTACACAAGATCGGCTATGGGCCCACGGCAACCATTTGGTATGCTTTCGATATGATGTGAGTGCCTCATTCGAGTGGGAATGGTACTACTCTAACTGCCAACGACAGGGTGCCCAGAATGGTTGTTTTGAAGATCTACGTGGTGGACCATATGCTCAAAACGTATGGGCGGGTTTACCCACCAAAATCATACCAGCAAAGCGAGTGCCCTTTTCACGAAGTTAGTGATCGTTTCTCAATCAAGAGTCCTCGTGGCCCTCATATTTGTGTTGTTCACGAGGGTCCACCGATAGACCCAGAGCAATTGCATACGGGAGACAAGCTGGATCTCGAGTCGATGAGGTCTACAATGAAACAAATACTGGTCATGATGGATTTCCTACACACTGATTGTTACCTGACTGCCCGTATCGTCTCCCGCGATCATTTTTGAAGGATGAATGACTGATTCTGGAGCAGGCATAAGGCCAAACGAAGCATTCAATGTTGCTTCCGACCACGGACGAAGTGCTGGACCCATCAATGTCGGGCTTATCACCCCAACGATACTCCCAGGCGATGGCGTTCCCCTCCGTATGGACTTCCCAGACAATGAAATGCCCGGCATCGTCGAAAAACATTGCAGGCCCCCTGAGCAGGTCCTGAAATCGAAATGTGATCACAGGGCAGACATTTGGGCTACTGCTGTAGCTGTGAGCATTTTGCCCTTGAGACAAAAGGAAGAATCTGACATAGTTTATCCAGGCATGGAATTACACCAGTTCCGAAGGACTCATCGACGGACGAAACTCGGACGGAGCCTTTGATGACCGGGTCCACATCGCAGAGCTGGTTGCTCTACTTGGCACTCCTCCACCAGAGTTCTGTGAGAATATGCGACTGGGCTCCATTTTCTGGGACAAAGAAGGAAATTGGACGGGCCAAGCTCCCATACCAGACCGAAGCTTGGAGAGCCTGGCAGCTGGCAATGTCGAGGGCGAGGACGTGGAAGGCTTCATGCAGTGGATGCGAAAGGCGCTACAATGGAATCCTCGAGATCGACCAACGGCCCTGGGGCTCTTGCGTCATGAGTGGATGGCCCGGAGTACGAAGCCTGCGGAGGGAGAATGTATGGATGTATCCGAGGAGAGCACCCAAGTCTAGTCTTTTCATCTTGTATGCCATATATGGCCTGTATAAGTACATGTAAATAGCATAGAAGCTCCACTCAGTCAAACTCCCCTCAATCAAGGCCTCCTGAACTGCTGTTGAAACGGGAAAGGTAGTCCCAATAACAGGCCTGATGAGAAGTTGGAGATTTCTTCGTTCCTAGGTCTGAGCCTGCCATGTCAAGTCTCAAAGACTCTTTTAAAGGTAAAAGCCGCCGATCTTTTGCGAATAAATCTCCTCAAGATACCAATGTCCCCATTCAACATAATAGATCGGCCCCGTCGTCGAGTTTCAACAAACACTTCGGCACCCAAGCCTTTACCAGAAATCCACCATCAGAGAACCAGACGTAGAACACTGGGTTTCAATCAGGCTCAAAGATACTTGTTTGCGGAACGATAACTTGTGGTTGGAGGCTTATGCCAAGCTTACAGCTGAGGATGGTGGCAGTTCGTTATCGGGTTTACAAACGGCTGCCATAAAAGATATTTATTCATGGGAAGGCTTTCAAAGGATGTCTACTGGAGTATGCTAAAGGGCACAGTTTCGTTGAGAGCAATTGAATTATGAAGATTTCTGGTGCCATATGATGCGCTGTCGGGTGGATACATGTGTTGAAACAAAAAACGAAAAAAAAGATGTGCATCATCCGTGAATCGAACACGGGCCTCGTCGATGGCAACGACGAATTCTACCACTAGACCAATGATGCTAGCGAAAACAGATGATCAGATAGCTGATTGGCTGCTGATATGTGGTCTACCAGATTTAGATACACATGTGGCCTCTAGAATCTGATTCAAAGTATTAGGTATATTCATATCAAGTCACACTTACTAGCGATCCAATAGAGCCATAGGCCACATAGCAGTATATCACATGATTGAATGCGTGTGTTAAAATATGCTTGGTTCGTTCAACCACCACTTGATGCAAGAGTGATGTGTACTTTATACGTGCCAAGACTGTATTTATGTATAGAAATGGGCTTTGATGGGCGCCCATTAATGGGCTAAAGGCCGGGGGCTTGGGTCCATTTGTGGGCTTTTGAGAGGTTTACCTTTCTCCATGAAGTATTTCCAGGGTCGTTAACTCCCGAGCCCTGTTGATCACCATTAAATCAGCCATTTGGCATCTAATAAGTTAGGCCCCCGAACGTTTACCGCAAGAACTCTATGGACTGTCTTGGCTTTTTGAGTTACCTTGTGTGCGGCACGTTTCATTCCGGTAGATTACAATTGGCATATGTTAAAGTAGGCCCTATCAGCCAAGAGGTAAAACTCATACAAATTTAGTATGGAGTATTCCCTTCGCAGTATGTCCCTCATTTATGAGGGAGATATTACATTTTGGCAACCCGCGACTCCAGGCATTCCATCTAGATATATTACTGAGCCTAATGCGGCTATTACATGCTAGAACGAACTTTTCACTGCTGATCTATTATTGATACTTTCTAAGCCTTTGGTGCACTGACATAGGTGTAGAGTTGACTTGGGCTCATGTACCTGCATATATCATTGATTACAAAGCCCGTGGAATATTTGTACCTGCCATCTCTTAGATCAACCGCAATGTCTCATGAAGTTTACAGGTGCCTGTCAAGATAAATAAACACCAATGGTAGCAGTGGACACAGGCACGAGTTAAGCATGCCAAGCAGATGCCAAGTAGCCAAGGCTCTTCTCGGTCAATTCTGGGCAATGCTACGATGGATTGAATCAGTGATACCTGATCTCAGCCCGGATGCTGAGATATAAATAATTGGCTTGACTCTACGGAGTAGTGATTCGGCATTTTCAAGCCTATCTTCAAGCCTATCTTCATTAACATCCCTTCAAAATGCTGTTGCCACGCTCCCTTATAGTAGGACTTGTCTTCTGCCTCAGTGGCATTGATATTTCATCTGCTGCTACGACCAACCTTCCCATCGCTGCGCAATCCCCCGAAGTCGATGCCGACCTGTCCGCCATTTACTATGGCTCATCGTTCCAAAACTCCCAGCTTGTGGGCACCGATGGAGGCGCTGCTACTGGTGGCATTCGATCTTTTAGCCTGACTGATATGCATCAAGTCGCCAGTCGCACACCTGGTCGCACCAAGGTTGCTGGTGTGTTGCATGGTGTCGGAAAGAGGGACCTCATTGTGTCCGTCGCTGCTCCTGATTCAAACATTCGGGTCTTTGACATCAATGGCACCACTGAGATCCCCTCGGCGCAAATAAAAGCCCTCGGGGACTGGTCTTCGCTGTGTACATGGCGCAGCCCCGTCAGTGGCGGACACTACTTTTATCTGCTTGGAAAGAAAGAGGCCAGGCAATTCCTTGTCCGTGAAAAGGATTCTGACATTGAGATCGTGGAGGTCAGTATTTTAAGCAACACATGTCTGCTGCCATACTCTGGAGACTAAAAGATATTTAGATCCAAAGATTCAGCGTTCCTGTGACAGGCTCTTGCGCTATTTCTCCCACCAATGGTGCTGTCTATCTGTCAGGTGATGACAACACCGTTTACACTTTCAAGGCCACAGAATCAACAAATGCCCCCACAATCAACGCCCTGGGCCAGGTTGTTGATGACGTGACAGGACTAGCTGTTTATGTTGCGCCTGAGACCGACTACTTGTTTGTGGGCCAGTCCGGTGCTGTCAATGTTTATTCACAGAAACTGGAGCTCAAGGGTAGCTTGGCCCTTACCGGCGCTCAAGATATTGAGGCTGCTGGCCTGTCTCTTTACCAGGGTGCTTCAACTCAGTATCCCGATGGAATTCTCGGTTACTCTTTTGAGTCTGATTCTAGCAAGGGCTATGGTATTAGCTCCTTGGAGCCGGTTTTCACTGAGCTCGGGCTCGAGCCCAACACTACCTACTCCCCACGGAACATTGATCCCTCCCTACAGGGCCCTCAACAGAATGGCTTTGTGGACAGAGATGGCTCGCTCAACTGTTTTTCCGGATTTACAGGAACAGACTGTACACAGTTTACATGCCCGAACTCCTGCTCCGGGAATGGAAAGTGTGTCGGACCCAATGAATGTCGATGCAATGATCCCTGGGCAGGCCATGATTGCACCTGGGTTGGGGTTAAGCCCAAGTACGAGACTGATGCCAACGGTGGCGACGGCGATGACCCTGCCATCTGGATCTCTCCCGTGAGTGCGGACCAGTCCACCATCATCACCACAACCAAATCGGAACTTGGTGCTGGATTTGCTGTTTTCGATATTGCCGGAAAACTGCTTCAGACAATTCCTGCTGGAGAGCCAAACAACGTGGATGTTATTTATGGCTTCCCGATAGGCGATCGCAAGGTCGACCTCGCCTACGCGGCATGTCGAGAGGATGACACCCTGTGGTACGTTTTTAAATCATTTCTTTTTCCGTTTCCTTCCTTCTTACTTCTTGAGCTAACATTATTTTCAAGTCTCTTCGAAATCGCTGCCAACGGAACTCTGCAATCTGTTCCCGGTGGCTCGCAGCCTGTGAAGTCTGACTACACCGTCTACGGCTCCTGCTCCTACCGCTCGCCCATCAGCGGCAAGCAGTATCTCTTTGTCAACGAAAAGTCCGGCGAGTACCTTCAATACGAGCTGACTGCCTCGACCGACGGCACACTAACCACCAATCTCGTCCGTACATTTACTGGTGGTTCTGGTGGTCAACCCGAAGGCTGCGTCGCTGATGAGCAAAACTCCTTCCTTTTCCTCGGTGAGGAGCCCTACGGCCTGTGGAGATACGATGCCGAGCCCAATGGCTCATCTACCGGAACCTTGGTTGCGCGTGCCGGCGATGGTACCCTCTTTGCCGATGTTGAGGGAGTCACACTTCTGCCTGGCAAGACCCCTGAGCAAGGATTTGTCATTGTCTCCTGCCAGGGTGTTAGTGCTTACTCCATGTACCGCCGTGCTGCTCCCCATGAGCATGTCATGACTTTCACTATTCAAACCTCAGCCGATGGAAGCATTGACGCGGTGACCAACACAGATGGTGTGACCGCAGTTGGAACTACTCTGAACGCCGACTTCCCACACGGTCTGCTGGTTGTTCATGACGATGCAAACCAATTGGCCACTGGAGGTACTGCTGAACTGGCATCATTCAAGCTGGCCAGTATTGTAGATGTGTTTGGACAGGCGGGACAGGCTCTTTTGGCCGACGTTGATGCTACCTGGAACCCGCGGGCGTGAATGCTAATCCTCTAGAGTTCCAATCGTCGCCAAATTTGGTGCTTGTCGTCTGTGTATTGCTATCTTGATTTTACTCGATATACTTCTATTAGATACTTCCACTGGATGGAAGTAACTCCTCTTTATATATCATACAGAATACTTGAGACCGCGGTCTTTGAATCTGCTGGGTCTCTGGCTCCGTGCCCATCGTCCTCGGGTAAATGCTGTTGTATCCAAAAAGGAGGGACATCTGTTTGCTCACGGAGGATCGAGAGTGTATGGGATTCGAGGTGTCTCTCGAGGTGTCTCTCGAGTCGAGTTCGTTCAACTGGATCTTACCTAATATATATGTAGGGTGTTGATATATGTACGAAGTAAAATAAGCATAAGATAAACCCGTGGACTCTCAAACGAAAAGCAGCAACCTGGGGTTGCACACTCCTGGGATCGAACTAGGTGCATATGAAAACCTAATGCCTCTCCCTATCACGACCTGAGGACAACATGAGCCCTACATTGGAAGGGTATCAACTGCTAAGGGGGTTACTTGGAATTATTGGTGTTTGTCTTGACTTTATAGAATCCCGTGGTCTCCACTTTGATCTCCTTATAGTCATGTCAACAAGTATAAGATCAAAGAGACTAGAAACAAATTATATGAAACCAAAAAGGCACATGAAAAGACCATTGCTAATACTTCTGAAGGCTTTGACTATAAGCCCAAGGCAGATCTCATCGGCGGTGCATTCGTGGTAATGAAATTTATTCCCTGAATAATAGGAACGGTATCTACGGGATAGCATAACTGTGATATACCTCACTTCAAAT